GCCTTGAGGGTCTCTCAAGCCAGTGGGAAATGGCCTCCAGTCCAAAGTAGAAAAGAGAAGAAAATGAAGAAGCAGATGGTGATGAAGTATTCTGGAATACTTTACAGAAAAATAGTCCCTGGGCAGTGGAATGGGGAGTGAGGGGACCTTCTATTTTTTACTTTACATACCCTGTGTTCTTTGAGTGTGTTGCAATGAACATGTATAACTTAGCAATTTTAAAAGCCCAGTAAAAATATAAAAATGCATGAATGAATAAATGAATGAGATGTCCCATGAAAGTCCTGGCCTGGGAGAAGGAGAAGAAATCAACGTTTAGGGAGCAGCTTTCAGACACAGGCTCATTTAGTCCTTTCAGTCCAGTGAGAAGGGGATCTTCATCCTCGTCCTAAAAATGAAGCAAGCGAGGCCCTTGGAGGCTAAGCACTTTGCCTCAGTTCACTGCTTGGTAAGAGACAGAGCCCAGGAGAGTTCAGCTTTAGCTGGCCACCTAAGGAAAAGGGTCAGAAACTAGGGACACTGACACTAAGAACTTTGTTCTAAAGCTCTCATAAATATTAGGTGTTTGTTATCTTGGAAAATAAAAAGGGGATCATCATATTTTGGGAGATAGAGGAAAAGCTTGCTGGGGTAGCCAGTCTTGGGGACAGAGGGCACTGTAGTGCACCAGGGTAGGAGAGAAGCAGAAAGGAGTGACAGCAGACAGAGTACTGGTCCCCGGGGCCTGGCTTAGACCCTGTGCTGTCTGGGACTCCTCGCAGGGGCCCTAGTAGCAGCAGGGGCTTCCCAGCAGGCCTTGTCTCCCACTGCCATCAGGCTCCCCGCTCTCACTTGCCAAGCTTTGCAGCCTGAGCCCCTTGGTGTTGTGGAAGTCCTCCCACGTCACCTCCACCGGCTTTACCTCTCCTTCCCCCATTATCCTCTACTGATTTTCTCCCTCCACGGGGAAAGGAAGAGAAAGAACAAGACTGTGGCTGGAGTAGGATGGAGAGACGCAGGACAGCTAAGGGAATTTGAGCGTCTTTTAAAAAATCCTGGCCGCATCACTTTTGTTATCATCAAGGCCACTGATCATTTTTATTGGGCTCTTACCAGAGCCAGGTATCATCTCATCAGCGTTCAGGAATGTCTCAGGGCCCCAGGTCATACAGGTTATCTGTGGCCAAGCCAGCCCTCCAGTGTACCTCCAGAGCTATGCCTGCACCTCGTGGCTGGGCATCCTGCCACCTGTGGCCTCGTCCTAGTGGAGAACAACTTGTTTTATGGCCACAGGAGCCCTGAAGCCTGCCCAGTTAGTACAAATGCTTTCTTCCCTGTTGCTCTGGCACCCAGCTTCCCGTCAGAGGCACATCCTTTTATGGTCTGCACCGAATATTTTCACCCCCTCCTCTGGCTCAGTGAAGTGTCTGCCTCAGGTAGAAACCATGGCACTGGGCCCGCATGCCCCCACTTGCTGTGATGACAAGAGTGGGTACTGCCCCAGCTGACCGGATGCTTGCTCTGTCCCTCTGTGGAGGTATGACTGCCCCTTCCCCGCAACCCCAAGAAAATTTAATGGCGTGCATGCATCGTTTAAATGCTCAGTTTTATTGTAGATTACAAATGGCTGGTGAACAGGTCACTGCATGCAGTAACAATGGCCTGTGCCTCACCCCGAGGTGTCCCATTGCTTCCAACAGGCTTCTGACATCCCAGGGCCCATGTAACCCCAAGGGACTCTGCCCAGGCTCTGAGTTCCACCAACAGATGGGCAGTTTCTCAGGCTCAGCAGCTCCCCATCTTGGAGACTCAGGTTGAAGAGAGTGAGGAACGCAGGCTGGGAGGACCCCAGCCCGGCGAGTGGGCAGGAGGTCCCGGGTACTAGCTGAGGACCCATTCACCATCAGATCCTCAGGGGCAGCACAGCACCAGGCACCAAAGAGGGGCGGTGGACCTTTAAGGCTGTCTGCACAGAACCAGAGAGGAGTAGCTCAGCCACGGAGGTGCAGACCTGCTGCCACAGGGCCCAACCCCAGAGCAAACCTGTCTATTCCAAGGACCTCACGAATTGAGTGCTTTCAGATGTTCAGGCGTCAGGAATCAGGACCCCTTTGAGAAAGAACCCCCCTACAAACTCCTTACTTGTAAATGGAGGCAACTCAGGTGAGTAAAGCTTCTACCTTGAGTCCGAGAAACAGGTCTGCCCCTCAAAGAAGAGAGGCTTCTCACTTGCACGTCACCTTCTGGCACTCTCACAGCCTGGTTTGCAGAAGCCACACACGCTTCCGGGCTTTGTGACTCTTCTGTTAATGGACCTCCACCTCCAAGTTGTCTCCACCATCCCATGGGGAGGTTTTTTAACTCTGCAGGTGCAGAAAGGTTAAATGACCTAACCAGGGGTGCAAGCCTGGCAGTAAGTGAACCTGGACTCCGGTCTGGGCCTCCATACCTCTCATGATGCTTTCCACTTTCCACTGCACTTATCTTTTACTGAGGGAGTCTTGTGTCCTCTGTCAGATCAAAGGTGCTGGCAGGACAAAGAGAAGTCTCATTCCTTTACTTTATCGATTCTACCCTATTCACTAATCACTGATGTAAATAGAATCGTGGGTGGGTATAATTAAATGAACTTCAGTAGAAACTGATTTTTCCTACCAGAACTTCACCACTCCTCCCACTTTTACCCAAGTATTTCAAAAGTTTTTTTCCTTCCCTTTGTTGGCTTCTGTCATTGAACTCTGCAGTGCATGTGTAGAAAGCTTCTGAGTACACAGTCAGAGCACAAAATAAAAATAGCTGATTGGTCGATAAGAATGGGACACAGTCTCTACCATGGAGGCGGGCACTAGTTTTAAAGCCAACTGGAAAGAGATGAGGTGGGGAGGGTAGAAGCCTCTCTGAGAGCTGGGCTTATTGAGGCCAAGCAGGTGGCACCTCCTGGTCAGGGCAGATGGGAGGGACAGCCTGTCGAGGTCCTACTTTCTGTTTTTGTTCTGCCTTGGCCAGTTCACCGTGAGGCTCCTGTTCCATGAAAAAGTGGCCACCAGGAATTCACTAAAAAATAGAAAGTAGGAACCTGCCTGCAAGGGACTGCTTTGGGCTGGCCTCTGCCCCTGCTAACAGTACTTAATTGAATTGGGCCCCTGCCACTGCACCGCCTCCCTTAGCCTCGTGTGACTGACTGTTCCTCTCTGTTTAGACTCTTTCCAGCTGGTATTGATTGTTGCTTTTATTGGCAAACAGTATACCAAAATAAAAGTAAACATAAGGGTTGTGCAGAGAGAGGAAAGTGGACTCTGTGTTTCCAGGGTTGGGGAAAAACTTACCTGGAGACCTAGTGGTCAAACTGGCACCTGATCCTCCCGTCAGTGCACCTATGCAATTATTATAAGGATGTTTGTCTGTCTCCTTCCAAGAGGGCGGCGGCTGCAGTCTTCACCATACACCCTGAGTGCGTGGTGCTCAATTCATAGTTGTGGACTGACACCCAGGCTGGGTTGTCCAGGAAGCAGTCATTTAGGGCTGGGAATGGCGCCCGCCTCTCACCTCGTTTCTACATGCAGCTGCCCCAGCTGGCCAGTCACCACCCCAATTTGGGGTTAGAGGTTTGATCCCAGAAAGATGACAACAACAGCTACACAGCCAAAACACCTTCACAGAACCGCCCTGTGGTGTTTGGTGCCTAGGCCAGCTGTTCTCGCAAGCTTAGTGCAGTGGTTCTCCATTAGTACCCTATCCCATTTCACAGATGTACAAACTGGGTGTGACTCTTCAGCTTGCCTTGCCAAAGTCACATAAGCCTGCTATCCAGATGAGAATCTGGAAGGACCTGGATTTGTGCCTAGACTCAAGTTCTTCATCTGTAATATGGAAATAATGACATCACCTATTAGGTAAGAATGTTATATGTTCATTTGTTCATTGCCTGTTTTCTGCGCTAACTGTAAGCCCCAGTGGTCAGGGACTTAGACTTATTCATGCTATGTTGTCAGAGCCTGGAACGAGTACCTGGCACACAGTAGGTGTTCAATACTTGTGTCCTGAATGGAAATGACATGAGATAAGCCCACACCAGACCCTGGCCCTTCCATCTGCAGGTATATTCTATATCCTCAGTTCTCCAGACTGGCAAAAGGCAGACTTGGGCTGGGGCTGGGGGAATCTACTGCTAGCCTTAGGGCAAGCTCAGCAGAACTCCAGGAGTGCGGAGGCCAGAAGTCTTCAAGGGGCAGGCTGTAAGGCCGTGGACTTGACAGCTACTCTCAGGCTCAAGCCCTCAGGTTCCCCTTTTTTTTCTGCCAAGAAAAGCATTTTTCTCGCCAGAGCACAACATGGTGCTGCTTCTGAGGTTCCTGCAGAGAAGCCCCCTGCCCCAAGCTGTGGACTTCTGGAGAAGAGACAGAGAAAGCAGACAGAGCAGACGCCAGGACAGGCCTCAGAAAAGGAACGCGCCACCAGGACAGCAGGTCGCGGCGGGCGGACGCTGGCCGGGCGAAGATGGGCGGGGCCCGCGGGCACGCCAGGCGGGCGTAAGAGGGCG